AAAAAATTCACCAAAAATTAACGAAGAGTCAGAAACTGTTTTAAATGCTTGGATTCCCCCATTGAAATGCATTGAACCCGATTTTGACAGCTGTCAAAAAATTCACCAAAAATTAACGAAGAGTCAGAACAAAGCCAAATTAAGTCTGCACACATTTTAGAAGGTGCACTAACAATTCCAAGCATTTAAAACCGTTTTTGAACCTTTTAAGACACTTTAAAAATAGCGAAAACGGAACATCGCTAAGCAAAACAGGGGACCTAAAACTGTCATCGCTAAGCGAGGCAAGGTCCCGAACATCGCTATGCGAATTTTCCCCATAGGGAACATCGTTAAACAGAGCGCAAAATCGCTCCAGAAACCTCATCGCTAAGCGAATACATCGTTAAACGAGGCAATCGCTAAGCGAGGCACCACTGTATAGCAAAAAGATCTAGTACTTACAAAGAAAGTATCTTAGTAAAATGAAAAAAGAAGTTTAAGGAATGAATGAGAAATGGCCTTGATGGACATCAAGCTCATGAGAGATAAGCAATCTTGTGCAAGCAGAGAGTTGCTGGAAAGAAAAATTAATTAAGGTGGAACATCCTGGCATCTACTGCTTCAATCTCTTCATTTTAAAACTCTTCATTTTAAAATATTAGGATTGGAGACTTAAATAACAAATTTCACATTTGGATTGCCCAAAACCCCAACAAAACAATATAAAAGTGAGTGATATACAGATTTGTAAAGGTGGAGAGTTGGCTGTGACTATAATGGACTAAATCAAAAGTTCTTGCTAAAATATCCAGCATCTTATAAGTACTATCTTAACTAGTCCAAATTTTGAGCAGGGAGGAATCAAGTTTTGAGTTCTTGCTGAATTTTCCCATAACAGTTTAATAATAATTGAAGTAATAATTTCAAGGTGAGAGAATGCTCTGTTTCTCAAGTCAGATCAATTAAAATTAAGAGAAAAATCCAACAGATATAAAAGGTAGGTTTATTAATCTAAGCAGCAGAAATCCCAATACGGTTTGAGCAATTAGACCTTCACCAGAGAGAGGGCTTGATTGCAGTTCCTTTAAATGGGTAGTTCTGAAATGCTAGCAGGAAAAAAGTATTTGTAATTGCATACTCCAAAAGGACAATTCTCTGAGTCATTTGACCTACTTAAAATTCAGCAGCATAGCCTTAATTTTTTTTTTCTGTAGTTCACACAATGAAATTTTCTTATATGCATGTAGTTACCATATTGTGATCAAAAGGGGAAAGCTGGTAACTATTTCCACATTAATCATCAGGAACCATGGGAATAGTGGTTCTATATAATTTGGTTCACACCAACATTCTCCTAAAAATAATGGACATAGATATTGATGGAATATAACTGTTCTTGTCTAGGAAGACCATTAAATAGTCCTTTCATTTTTGAAATCACAGCATGTCCTTCCCAGCTCTCAATGGCTGAAATATTTTTCATGCAGCTTTTTATATGCACAAAATTGGTAACATCATTATCAGCAACACATTGCTCCTGACGAAAGGTTTCCTTTGGGGATTTTGCGATGCATGCAATTTTGTTGCATTCAGCCCTTGAAATCGACTTTCATCAGTGGCAATTTTCTACTGAGATCATCTCTGTTCTGCATGTGGAGCTATGCAACAGGATTTCAGCCAATGAGCATAATTAAAAAGCAAATAATTTAATCCTAATGTCTAAGTATCAAAGTCTATGGGATATTTCTCCTACGTTATTCAAACAAAAATAGTTTCAAGAAGTTTAAGCACATATGCTTCCAATCAGATTTTTCCTGATGCAAGCTTGCCATGAGGAATGACAGGTTACCTACCTGTAATTGTAGTTCTTCGAGTGGACCTCTGTGATTCACACTATGGGTAATCTGCACATGCGCGGAGCCTTGCGTATCTTTTGAAAATAATATGGATAATAATAATAAATAATGTTCAATAATTTTCCTTCTTTTGTTTTCAGATTTCTCACAGAAGCAACGATCGAGGCTCTCAACGCGGCAGTTGAAACTGAAGGGAGAGCCTTGGTGCCAAGGTACATATACCGGGAGGGGGGGAGAGATCTATGCTAATGTATTTTCCCTTGCTACCGCAGAAGCTCTAGAATATTCTGACAAGGCTCTGCGCATGTGCGATTATCCATAGTGTGATTCACAGAGGCCATGAAGAAGAACGTGCAACTCCACATCATAAACATAAAATTACTTTGTTCATTTTTCTTGGTGATTAGCATGAAACAAAATAGTAATAAGTTTTGCTTGGTTTAATTCTGTTTCAAGGTTTTAAAAAAAGGCAGAATACCAGTAAACCCATAATTCCAGCCACCTCCCCCGAGCAGCACTCCATTTCAGGTACTGTATAGATCAAAATGTTTTTTGCAGGAAACGCCAATACTTTCTCCATGAGACTAAAAGCACCTTTGATCAACTATCTCAAGTAAATCAGACAGACAGAAACAGGACACCTGAAGGCATTCTCTATCAGTAATCAATATTACTATTCCTAACATAGCATTCCTTTATGTAATGTACTGGTGCAGCATGTGGGCAGACTTTACATGGTTGTAGAGGCAGCATGAGATATACTACAGTATGTGTAAAGAACTCCCAACATCCTATCTTCCTTAGACATGAAAGGACAGACAGATGACAATATTTAGCCTTTATTGACATCTAGCAAATAGGATTCTGACCACCACCCGTGTCAGCTGTGGTCCCTGTGGAATCTTTTTGCAACAACATAAGCACAGCTGCTTAGCTAAGAAAGCAGAAAAGGCTCTGCATAACCACTCTTACTTAAATCTACTCTTGGTGTGCATGCTGTATGTTCAAAATGGCTACACACACACACACCTGTCATAGGAAAAAAGCTGCAAGGCTTGTTCCAAGCAGGGCACATGATGTGGTTAATGCCATTTGAAGATGCCTTATTCTTATATTTCAAGTGAACCTTGTGTCACAGTGGTTCAGGTGCAGTACTGCAGTCAAGCCTCTACTCACGACCTAAGTTTGATCCCAATTGACTCAGGCAGCTGGCTCAAGGTTGACTCTGCCTTCCATTCTTCTGAGGTTGGTAAACTGAGTACCCAGCTTGCTGGGGTGGGGAGCAATGTGTAGCCTGCATCGTTACATTGTAAACCACCCAGGGACCGCTTTAAGCACTATGGTGCAGTATGTAAGCAGCACACTTTGGTTTTGCTTTGATTTTAAATTATGGAGTTCATCTATTTTGTGAATGCTACTTACTCTAAGAACAGCTTTCCCAGGTTTGAGACAGTGTCCTTTCCTAACCTTGCTCCTTGCGATGCCTTCATTTGAGATGCTAGAAATTAGAACTCGAATCTTCCACATACAAACTGTGTGTCTTCTCCACCGTGACAATCCTTTTCTTTGTAGCATCACCAGCTCCTTCTGGATCAGACTTGGGCGAAATGCAGCCCTCCAGATGTTTCTGAACTGCAACTCCAAGCAATCCTAGCCCACACAGCCAAGAGTGAGGAGTGTTGGGATTTGCAGTTCAGCAACACCTGGAGGGCCGCATTTTGCCCAGGTCTGTTCTGGATATATATGTCTTTTAGAGTGCCTGTTCTCCAACAAGCATCTGTACAGCCACTGGAGGCTGTGTATGGAGGGATGGGGGGGAATGAATTTAAACTGTGCAATAAAAAGTAAATAGGTGATCTGAGGTAAAGAGGAAATGACTCAGACACTTGGTGGGAGGGAAAGGATGCTGGAAGATCACATTATTTCATCAATGACACATTGTTAAACATAGACCCCTAACTTCGCATTACAAAATGCATTATAATGGCCTAGTCTGTTCATTCCAGTCAAGGACATGAACTCTCTCAACCTATTTCTTTTGAAGAAGAGAGCAAGAAAGAGAGAGGAGAGATGGGTGAAGAGAGTGAACCAAAGAAGAACAGAGATGAAAAAAAAGAAGGGCAGGATATATCATTGGTAAGGCCTAGGAGAGGCGGCAGGAATACAAGTATGCAGACTTGACAGGAAATAAAACCATCCTTATATTAGAAGTTAAAGGAAAATGTGAAGGGACGTTTTTCAGACATACTGAAGCTCTGAAAGATTCTATCCATAAAAAGGAGTAAAAGGAGAAAAATGAAAAGGCTACATATTCCCCAGTGACTATGGGCAAAGACAGTACTGTTGAGTAAATTTCTTTTTCACTTACAACACAGCTGGTGAGGTCTGCCCTGTCATCATTACATTAAACTAGAGGCAAATACACCTTGTGATTCACTAATCAATTAGATTACAAATTGCAAATATGATGCTGTATTACTTTCATGATCCTGGGTCATCCTCCCTATTTTAAGGATAGATATTCAAATACTGTATGCTTAAACTGAAGAGGAATGAGTGGGGTGGGGGTGTTCCCCCTTCAATGGGTCCACACATATTGAACTGGTCTGGTGAAAGATTCAGCACAGCTTCTTCAGCCTATGACCCTAATCCTCCTGGTCAAACAGAGCTTGTCAAATGCTTCAAAACAAGATTTGTTCATTAAAGATGAAAAGATATTCTGGCCTGAAATTCTCGGATCAAGAGTCTGAGGGGACGGTGGTGACATTTAGCTTGCCTCAGCTAGAAGAGGCCAAAGCCTACCTCTGGAATGTGGTGGCTGAGACAGTAACGTTTATTGCAGTGGGGGCACAGCTGTCCCAGGGTTGCTATGCTTGCTTTGCATTTGAAGAAACTGCACGTGTTGTCATCTTTAATGGCGGCAGAAATCATAGCATCAAAGTCTTCCTCAGCTGCATCTTCCACTTTGCTTTTAAGAGTGGCCTTCCCTAAAAAGCAAAGACAGGGGTGGGGGAAGGGGAGAAGAAAAAGACAAAAAACAACAACCAATTTCACTAGGAAGGAAAGATTCCTTTTCTTACAGATATAAAGAGGCATGTTTGTATTGATCCAGTACCCCAGTGAATAATTTGGTCCGCATAGGTAGGATAAGCACAAACCCACAGATTATTGTTAGCTATATGGGATGGGAAAATTCTGGCCTGGCCTGCTTATGCGTGAGAACAGCATTCTTTTAAAACTGTACAGGAGCAAGCAGCATCCTTGAGAATAATACAGACACAGCAAAACCCCTTTCCATCCTTGTCATTTGAGAATCTTTACCTGGAGATGTCAAGAAATGAACCTTCAATTTGAAAATGGTCTCTACCATTGACCTCTGGACACCAAGCTTTGGAAATATTAACTAACCACAAAGGAGAAAAGGGATGGTACTTGAAGGATAAAGAGGAGGAGGCCATTTTAGGACTATAGAGCTGCATGACAAAAGCTACAAATATCAGTATGACAGCATACAGGATTATTCCTCATTCATTCTTAAAATATTGAATTGCCTCCTTCATGATATCCACTGGTACAGACTCTCTCTTCTTCCAGAAGGTGTCTGTCACTCTAGGATATGGGACACAGCTCTTTTTGACTTTGGACTAGTGTGTTACAGAAAGCCAAATTCTGGACTTTGCCCATTAGCAGAGGTAATCTTCTGCTTACATTGCACAGTACTGACATCAGTGCACAGGTGAAGTTTTTTTTTGCATCTGGAGTTGGGGATGCTGCTGCTGAACTCCATCATCCATCAGTCCCTGCCAAAAGCTAGAGTAGGAATACAGCTTATGCCCCGTGTGTGTATGTATGTGTGTATGAGTGACAGAGAGAGATCATTCCATTTCACTTTCCCATTAATAAATAGAAAAAGAAGTGTGTGCACATGTGTGCATGTATTCAGAGCAACATTGTGGGGCCAGCAAATCCTGTGCCACCTGCGCTGTGGAGACAGAGAGTGGGCCTTGCCACCACAGGCACCTTCCAAGGAGTTTCCCACACGTGGACTGGAGCCATGAGAAAGACCAGCCCAAGAAGCTTCAGCCAACCAGTGACGAAGGTTCAGCCGGAGGAGGGAAGGGAGCCCCCAGCAGAGGAGAATAAAAAGGGAGAGGGGAAGCAGGAAAGGGCAGCTTGTGGGAGGACACACAGGAGACCGTCAATGGGAGGCCAACCAGTACCTCCTGAGGTAGTGGAGGGGGTGCGGCACATGCAATGAAGCCCGAAAAATATCCACCTACTGGGGGAAGCAGGACCGTTATCAGCAAAAATGTCATAGACGAGTCAATGAAGCCCGAAAAATATCCACCTATTGGGGGAAGCAGGACCGTTGTCACATACAGCACTGATGGTACCTGGGAGAGGTCATCAGGATACTGGAGAGCTCTCACCTGAGGCCGAGCCTCAGCACGCCAGCCATTCAACAGAAGCTGGCTCTGGCCCTTCCAGCTGACAATCTCTGGGAAACCACCCCCCAGTTCAACCGTTGGCCACCCACGACTCCAATGCTGCTTCACCACATCCACAGAAGGGCTCGGATGAGCCAGAGGTGGAGGCCATGGTGAGGTAGTGGACAAAGGAAGAGGTGGACGAACCCAAGGAGACCACCATGCAGGGGCGGATTACTCTTTGCCTGGCCCGTCTCCAAGGAGTCCTCAACCTGCGGAAGGAGAAAGGGTCTGTCATCCCTCTGCAGTTTGGGAAGAAGGAGAAATAAGCCTCTGACAGCCTCTCCCAAAGAGTTACTCTAGGGCAAACTTGTTTCTGTTGTTTCCTTGCTCTGACTTTTGTTACTTACCAATCTGAGTTTTGAATAAACCCCACCTGTTTCACTGCACCCCTGTGCTTGTGTCATGGAGGGGAACACAGGGGCCGCTTACACATACATTCATTGTTTTAAGCAAACAAATGGAGGCCCCCAGATATATTTTTGTGACAAAAAGCTTTCCTTCCCTTTCCTACTCTACACAATCATGAAATACCAGGCAACAGAATGATTTCACAGCTGTTCCAAGTGGTGTGATTCACACCGAATCCTGCTTTGGGGGTGGGAGCTGAGCTACTTGCCGCCTATGCGTCGGTTCTTCCACATCATTCGTGCACAGTAAACAATAGTTCCATTCCAGTGAGGAAGCCAATCTGATAAATCTCACAGTTACTGCTTTTTTGAAACGGTGGCAGATAGGAAGTAGTATGTCCAAAAGCCAACCCAGTCTTCTGCTAAAACCTCCAAAGGAACCCTATGAGACGGAGAAACCTCTCTGCTCTCAGAGAAACCACCTGAATTCTTAGTCACTGCCAAGAAGAAAAGCCTATTACACTTCCAAGCAGCTGGAGCCACCACACTATTCAAGCAGCAAAACATTTTTCAAACAGTTCTAGGAGCCTAGCCTGCTGTTTGGTCTGGACGTTTTCCTGCAGGGTGCCTAAAAGAAATGCCTCCAGTGAATCTGTAAAAGGATTTCATTGGAAAGTAGACTGACCAGCAAACTCAAGGAAAGTGAAAGGATAACAGAAAAGTGTAACTGGTCTGTCCTCTAAGAACACAAACTGTAGAAGAGGTAAGGTAAATGGAGGTAAGAAGACACATCTCCAGATGGAAAAATACACACCTTTGGCTTCACTTTTATGTTTTCTTCTGGTGACTTCCTGCAGATCTGCACGCAGCTCCAGGCTTTGTTTTTCTCTTGCCTGCTTTCTGTCCTTCTCTCTTTGTACCCGTTCCATGTGCAAAGTTTTCAGATCCACTTTCCTCGTCCTAGTGTTGCTTTCTCTCTTCTCCTCACTGAGGACAGACGTTTCTCTCAGAGGACTTGGAGATCTGTCAGATGTTTCCTGTTTACAGGCCCCTGCATCTTCTACAGATAGGTTTATAGCAGGACCTTTCCTACGAACACTTATGTATCTCTCTTTACCTTCTCCCAGGCTTACGTGCTGCAGTCCATATTCCTCTGCCAGCTGGTGGATAATCAACCTATCATGAGAATTTAATGATGGTGGGAAATTTAATTGGGTCTCATCACTCTCCAGAAACTCCAATATTCTTGCTTTGTGCTTACATGAATTTTCCTTTATCTCAGTTCCTGCTGCCGTCACCTTGGCTGCATTCTGCCCAGGACATTCTACTGGCCTCTCCTCAGTCTGCTTAACTGGTTTCCCTCGTGGCTTCTCACCCTTTGGGGCCAATGCAGTGTTGCATTTAAGTTTCTTTTCTTGTGAGCTTTTGGGAGCATAGTTTTCTGGCACAATGTCATCCAGGTATTCAAAGGCTGTGCGTACTTCTCCATGTTCTCTCATATAATCCAAAAGCCGTCTAAGAAAACTGTGGTTGCCAGCAGTCCGAGAGTCACAGATCACAGTTACGTGGCGCCGGGCACGAGTAACTGCAACATTTATTCTTCGGTCCTCTGCAAGGAAGCCCACTTCACCTATGAAGAATAATACAAGAGTTGAGAAACTCATATGTGTAAAGTAACTAGAGCAACACGTACTGTTCCACCTTAAGCATGTTGACTTAGAAGTATCACTCAGCTGGATGGACTAATTCTCAATTAATGGGCACACCTAGAAGTCTTCGTGTGGATTTCATCAGTACTTACAGTACTTCTGTACAACTTCAGCAATGCCTCCTTACAATTGTCCTGTGAAGTAAGTTACTTGATAATATGATCAGTTAAACATGTTTTATAAGCTCCTCAGAATGGCCAGACCCTAAGCTAGAAATAGACAAGAAAGTGAGGGTGAATGGGTGCTTGAACATAAATATTATTTATATGGAGCTAGGTGACACATGTGAAGCAGGCCTCTTTTTCTAAGTGCAACATACAGGATTATGTACAAAAAACTAGATATATGTTGGGAGCTACGTGGAAGAATGCTAAATCCACCAACAAGGAAGCTCCTAAATTGAGTGCATTGCATGAATAATCCACAGAGGAGTACAGAGACAAATCTGTTCATTTGTAAACAAAACCCAACATGCATTGAGCTGCAATTGGCTCCTCATATGTCAACATCGCACCTATAAGCAGTCAGTCATATGGTTAGTCAGTTATAAGCTTTGAAGTTGGAACCACATTATGGCGACCCTAATAGGGCTTTCAAAATAAGTGAAATATTTAAGGAGTAGCTGTACCAGTTCCACAGCCTCTGTTGAGTTTCCACAGCGAAGCGGGGATTTGAACCCTGGTATCTAGAGTGGTAGTCCATCACTCTATCCACTACACCAGTGGTCTCCAACCTTGGGCCTCCAGATGTTCTTGGACTTCAACACCCAGAAATCCTGACCAGCAGAGGTGGTGGTGAAGGCTTCTGGGAGTTCTAGTCCAAGAACATCTGGAGGCCTGAGGTTGGGGACCACTGCACTACACCACATTGGGCACCAATATAGCACCATATGATAGCAATAAATAATTCACAAGCATACTATTAGAGTATTGTTATAATTACAGTAAAAATAGAGAAAGCTTTCTCTATGCAATACCTAATTCCGGACTTGTAGGGTTTGATTCTGGAATTTCTAAAGTACGTTTAATCCTGGATTAAGCAGAAATTAGATCCAGCTGATATTATTCATAGCAAACACGGACATTAGTTTTGCACAGTGAAATCTTATATACTAGTAATTCTTTATTTTGTTTTCCTGAGTATAGTCATGGCACTGCTGACACTGTAATTAAAGTTTGCCAACTAAATATAAAAAGAAATAATTGGAAAGTTCTAGTTTAAAGTGAATTTCTTTTCCTTCTGCCTCAAGACTCTTAAAGTACTCTGTCCTATGGATGTCAATGGGACATTCACAAAGGGCATGGATCTTGTGAGGAAGTCAATAAATATTTTGTCAAAAAGTATTTTTTTTGCCTGATTTAACTCATTTGATAGGAACTCTTTGATGTGACTTATGTACATATATGGGAATCAGTTTGATCACAGGGTTTAATCAGGAGAACAATCGCACAAGGTTTTACATCATAGTAATCTCCATGTTTACTCAGAAGTAAATCCCACTGTCATCTAAGTGTGTAGCCATAGTAGATCACTGGGAGGGAAATCAATCAATGGATTTCAGATTTGAAGACATACTGCTTTACTTTTTGAGGCTAATTTTGTTCTGATGTGTTGTATGGGGAGGAAAAAGTAACTATCAAAGACAGAATTTCCTTTCAAATACGGATGAAGAACCTTTGATTACTGCAGTTTCAACTGTCTCACATACCACAAGGTACGTAATTAAATACCACAAATAGCATCTATGCTGCATGTTAAGTGATATGCAAATGTACTCCACTTTAACCAATGAATTGTTTTGCACAACAAAAACAAACAAACAAAAAATGCCCCAAGTAAATAGTCAAATAATGTCTTTTCACTGGTTGAAAGCCCATCTCATTCTGTGGTTTGCAAGCAGTCATAATGCTACCTTGGGGTCTGCTTCTGAGAAATCAAGTTAGAAAGCCAGCTTAATTCCATTTTATTTTTTAACAAGGAAATGAGTGTTCACTACATGCTCATGTGCCAAATTTCTGTGTTATGATGTGGCTTTTTTTTAAGCCATAGAGGTCCACACTTAGGTCAGATCACTATGATCTGGAATGTCAGAAGTAGATAGCAGGACTAACCAGATGTGCCTGTTAATTAAAGAAGTCCAATTAAAGTTCACATCTGCAGTGGAACTAGGCTGAAGGTATAGGTCACAGCTGTATTGTTCCGGCATGAAATTGGCTAAGGAAATATTTCAAAGAGCCCTGCAGCTACATTTTGCTTGTTCTGAGCTGTTGACACAACTTCAACTTTATAAAGGTCAGAAGTATAGATAGTGAATACTATTTTTAAAAAAACCAATTAACTGACACACATGCATGAGCAAATGCTTCTAAATGATGGGCAGATATGAGCCCTTTCCAGAAGGCATTTATAATCCCCAATTATTTCCTCCAGAATCTATAATAATAGATAGCAAATGCCAAGATGAGTCAGCTCAGCTGCCTAACTTGGTTGGTGGCTGAGTCCCCTGCTCTTGTAGAGAAGTAGGAGACAAATGGAAGAAACAAGTTTTAAGAGCCAGGACTTGTTGCTACCCTTTGAAGACATGCAAGAACTCAACAGAAAGCTGGCACATCAAAGTGCATTAGTCATCAATTTGTGCTTAAGAATTATAACCTGGAAAATAATTACTGTGTCAGGTACTTATACAAATACAGAAACAACAGCATGCAGTGATTTCTTCTTTTAAGGACATATTGAGCAAGACAAGGTGTTAACTGCTTTGATTTTGGTAACTATAAAGGTTTTTATGTTCTATGAAACCAAAGGACTAAGAACTCTGATGACAGCCTACCTTGGCTCACTATTTTAAAAGCCAGGATACTACCAGTTGCAGCAAAAGGCTTACATGGAACTTAGGCTACCTCCCAACTAGATTAGAGCCACTGAAATGAATGGAGCTCGTTAGTTATGGCTAATGAGTCACATTCATTTTAGTGATCCTACATTTCATTGTTATTTGCTGCCAAGTTACTTACAGTGATCCTATTAATTAGCAGCCTCCAAAAGGTTCTACTATTAACAGCAAACTGAAAGCTATGACTTCCTTAATTGAATCCCTCCACCTAATGTTAAGTCTTCCCCTTATCGATTTCCATTTTTTCTAGCATTGTCGTTTGCAGTGACTCTTGCTATCTCACGATATGTCCGAAGAACAAGAGCATTCTAGCTTCTACAAAGAGAGTGCAGGCTTGATTTAATCTAGAATCCACTGATTTGTCTTTTGGTGCTTCATGGTATCTGTAATGCTCTCTTCCAATACCACATTCTGAATGATTTATATTTTTCCCTTGTCAGTTTTCTTCACTGACCATTTTTCACATTTTTCTACAGTTATTGGGAACACCATACTATAGACAATTTTGAACCTGGTCTCCAGTGACACCTCCTTACATTTCACAATCTTTTTCAGTTCCTTCTTATTTGTCCTTCTCAGTCTTCTTCTTATTTCTTAGCTACAGTCTCTGGTTTAATTGATGACTGAATTCAGGAATAGAAAAATTTTGAACAATTTCAATTTCTTCACTGTCATCAAAGTTATACAATTTTTCTGTAGTCATTATTTTAGCCTTCAAAATGTTCAACATACTCCTTCTTTTCTATCTTTCACATTCATCAGTAGTTGTTTCATGTCACCGCTGTTTTCTGTTAGTAGCATGATGTAATCTGCACACCAGTACTGTTCAGCTATGACCTTTACCGCTCAAGATATGGTCATCTGCCTTCAGTATTGTTCAGCTTGGACCATGCCACCTTGGGTGCAATCTGATACAATCTAGACATGTAGCCTAGTCTAGCCTCCTGATGGCATTGCTCACAGCTTTCTATCATATTCAAAGCCTCTCACCATATTAAGGTATCTATCCAAGAAAAAGGCTGCCTTTTGTTGGACTGAAATTGCCCTTCAGCCTCTGGAAACAGGCCAGCTTCTGATTCACATCTGTAAGAATCTCACAAGTCCATAGCTAGTTCAGTTCTGCTGGTATCTGGAATTTCAAGCTAAGGTATGACCAAGAAACCACAACTACTGGAGGCTCACCGAAAGGAGCTAGCCATTTTTCCAATATGAAGCTGTGCACCTGTTCTTGTTTTGTCATTTGATTACTCTTAGCAGTTTGGGATTTGTTGACAATAAAATGACTACAAAGCTACATAGTATATACTAAATGTATAGGAACGTGTTCTGATGGTGATCAGACAGTAGATCTGATGGAGATTTGGAAATACACAGCACAGTTGTTTGGTTACTATCTTAATTCCTTATTGCAACTGATACACGCACTGTAAAGCTTGCGCTGTTTGATTCTAGTTAAAATTCTTCTCCAAATACCTCTTCGCTTTCACAGTCAGATTGTCTTCTCAACTACTTCTCAATACCCAGACACTGTTTTGCATTCTAGTATGCAAGTACCTAACCACCAGGGGTTTCAGTAAGACAACTGATGCTTGAACACCTCCTTTTCCAATTTCTCAAAGTAAGAGTCGCTTCTTCTCTTGCAAAACTGTGATACTATGGAGAGGATTCTGATGCATTCTCCATGTATTAGGACACATCACAGAATAGATCCAATTACTTGGTACAGTAAGACATGCTTGAACACATCCTTTTCCAATTTCTCAAAGAGTCGCTTCTTCTCTTGCAAAACTGTGATACTATGGAGAGGATTCTGATGCATTCTCCATGTATTAGGACACATCACAGAATAGATCCAATTACTTGGTAAGGGAATCAAACCTCTAGGCAATCAAATACAGTTTTTGCTTCTTCTTCTTCGTCTTTGTTTCTCTTTTGCTTCTGTCAGGCATTGGAAACTGTGATACTATGGAGAGGATTCTGATGCATTCTCCATGTATTAGGACACATCACAGAATAGATCCAATTACTTGGTAAGGGAATCAAACCTCTAGGCAATCAAATACAGTTTTTGCTTCTTCTTCTTCTTCTTTGTTTCTCTTTTGCTTCTGTCAGGCATTGGAAACATGTTGGCATTATATTATTTGTCTACTTTTATCTGAAAGCTTTTTTCTGTAGACTTTGCTTAGCAATACAGTATTTTCCTATACATTTCTCCTGGATCTTAAACCTGCTACTCTCGAACTGTGTGCCCAACAACGGTTCTCTTCATGTTTGGTGTCTACTGTGTGGAAGCCACTTCCATGTGGTCTGACCTCAGGCTGCAAGGCCAAGAAAGCCATCTGATGACTTCACTCATGTTGATGCATTAGGCAGCCTACCAGGAAGGAGTGCTTCCTGCCTCATTCACACAGGAACATGCCTCCCTGTTATTCTCATCTGTGCCCTTCAGCATCTGGTTGCTTTACACATAGAAGAAACTATCATAATGGTGATCTGTGTCTTGTTCCAAAGAAAGGCCAGCTGAAGCAATTACACAGTAATGCCCAGTTTTATGTTTCTAGCCAATTAAGTTTATTTTCATTCTATATGAACCCAGTTAAAACTGACTTACCTTTTCTATTTGATCTCACAAAAGAGAGGACAACAGCCTCTTTCTCTCTTCCCTGGAAGCCATCCACTGATTTAATCTCCAGCTCTGGATATTTATGACACAAAAGGTCCCTTAGCATTTCTACCTGAAAAACAAAGGGACTGGCTGATAAAGATATCAAAACAAAAGGTAAGAAAAAGAAAATAAAAGAAAGCAAAAGGGGGTTCCTGGAAGGCAAATACCATAAATACACTCTTACCCTGAAAGATCCCTAGTATTCAAAAATAAAGCAACACAAATGAATTAACTAATATGAAAAGTTCATGGCTACAGGGAGCAAAAAGAAGTTGCTTCCTCAAGTATCTTCTCTCTGATCTGCTGGAATGTGTTTCAATATTGATCTTACTTACTATTTTAATACAATACTTGTTTAATTCTTTTAAAATACTTGTATACTTGCTGTTTTAGCTTTTAAATACTGTTTGAATGATGTGAGCCACCTTGGGATTTTTTTGGAAGAAAGGCAGAACAGAAATATTTTAAATAAATAAATTAAAAATGCATTAGGGTTGGAGAAGGAGAGGTGACCTTGCTAACTTATTGAAGCTGCCAAGTGATGGAAGAGAAGCAGGTAAGTTGATTAACTGAATCCCAGCAAATAGAATAAATGCAACAGCAAGCTAAGGAAATGCAATACAATGGAATTCACTGGAGCACCAGGTTCTACCATTATAATGCAGGGATCTCCAAACTACGGTCTGTGTTGCCGTTTTGTCTGGCCTGTTCCCTTAGCCCTGTGGATGCACATGCAGGGGTGTGTGTGGGGCAGGCATGCTTGCATGCGTGGGGCGAGCAATGCAGGCTGGTGGGTGGGTGGGTATCTGTGTGGGACTAGGCATGTGTGTGCACACACACACACATTCCTGTTCCTTCAGCCCTTAAAAACTTTGAAAATATCTAGTGTGGTGCTCACTGTAAAAAGTTTGGAGACTCCTGTTACAATGAATGCATAATAGGAGATATTATAAAGATATTTTAGTACAGGACAGAGAATGTGTGGTCTTTCATGTGACATTTTTCACCTGCAACTACTATGTAGCCATGACCCTGGCAAACACACTCACCTGGAGGTTGTAAGGGGTAATGACAGCAATATCTCTTGTCTTCACACCAGCTTCTACCAAAGCTTGTACATGCAAGCCAACAAGACATACCTCCCCTGGAAGAGAGAAAACAGACTGAGTCCTGGACATAGAAACAGCCTTTTAACCCTAGAATGGATTAACAGTTTCAATGGAAAAAGCCTGCACTTCATTCTAAGATTATTCTGTGACAGAAAAAGACAGCTTTTTACATACGATTCAATCTAAAATCCATTTTTAAAAGCTATTCCGCTGAAAGAACATACAGTATTTCTTTGTTATGGTGAGGATTACAGAACAAAGGGAAATAAGGTGTCATTATTTCTGAGTTCCTTACTAGCCCATGGTGAAAACTGAATTCATATCTAATAGCCAGACATCTGCATTGCGCACATGTACATAATGTTTCCAAGCTATGTGTCAATCTGCATTTGCAAAGCTTTCAGGGACATGGTGGCTTGTTAGCTAGAGTTAGCACAGATTCAGACACCCAACAGGCACCTGGAAGCCCTCCCCCTTCAATTAAAGAAGGACCACCTCAAATTTTCCCTAAGAGAAAATGGGGAGGGAGAGAGAAATGTACTCAAAAATCAAACACTCCTCTTCAACAAACATCATGTGGATTTTAAAGTTATTCATTTTAAAAACAAAAAATAGTGTTTTAATTTAGATGATTAGATTGATTTGCATTGTTTTTGTTAACTCGTAAAACCTTTACTGTCTTGAATGATTATCCTTTCATTTGCTATTTTGGAAAAAATCATTTAGAAATTATTTATCAACATGGTGTTCAGGCTTTATGAGTTCTTAAATATCCAGACAAAGAAATTATGAGTTCTGTTGGGTCCTTATCCCAAACTCAAGAAATCAGTAGTATATTCTGGCTTACAGACATTAGAACTGCCACATGTTTTTTTCACGACTAATGTCATATTTACTAACATGATATAAACATACAATTCCCAAGAGAAACCTGCCTGGAAACGAACCCACATAGGCCAGAATTTTTATTTTTGATCTGCTTACTTTTAAACTACTAAGCCACCAGAATTAATGTCTTTCTGTTTGCCTCTTTCCTTTAGTGTTTCTAAACCAGTTCTACTGGAACTGATTTCTATAAGAGGCCTGTTCACTATGCAATTTCTACATTAACAACACTTCCTGTTTTCAACTATAGCTCAAATGGTGCGTCACCATACTCAGAATGCGGGTGTACTGCAAGGGTGTGCAGCAAGAAAACTACACATAGGACTGTTCGAAGTAACAGTCCAGACATGACCTCAATAGTCTTCCTGCATTCTGCCACCAAGACCCGCCCTAAGTCAGCGCTGTCTCCACATAGTCACACTCTCTTTATCTCCTCTACCTCACTTGTAGGTCCTTGTTCTAATTTCAGAGATCATCCCACACAAGTGTTCCCTTTTTAAAACTAGGAAGTGTTACAATTAGTTTAGCCTACAACTGTCAGAATCCACTAGCCAGCAAGACCACTCACCATATATGGCTGGATGGTTGTTGTGAATGTTGTAGACTAAAGAAGTACCTTTTCTGAGCTTTGAAACTTTGCCCGAACGTACAGGCTTATCTGTTTCTAGACATGATGTCCTTGGGCTTTTGCACAGACCCCTGGAATGCACCCTGACTTTTCCAGTACCTAATTATTCTTATAAACATGGTCTATTCTGAAAGAATAACAGCGTTCCATGTCTAGTCGCCCTGGCCACGTGACCACAGAAACTTTCTACGGACAAACGCTGGCTCTATGGCTTGGAGACAGAGATGAGCACCGTGCCCTAGAGTCAGACACGACTAGACTAAATGTCAAGGGGAACCTTTACCTTTACCCTATTCTGAAAGAATATTGCTCCTGAAGCTCAGTCAGACTGGAAATCTTCCTGTGGGGTCAGCACAGAGACAAAGCTTCACAACAGTTGCTAGGCAGATTTATGTATCTTAAGACACTGTTAATCAGGGTTTTGACTTTACTTTCAGAGAAAGTACTTGCTGTATATGCCATTCAAATGGCTAGGCATTTGCTATTCTATGAACCGTGTCTTGTTTGCCCAGAGAGGTGACAAAGCGTGATGTGCCAAGGCAATTAAAAGCAAAGGCTGCCAGGAAAGTTCACTGTTTCAACCGGACAGCTGACAGCTTTGCTTGTCACTTTAGAGCCTGTGACTTCAGGAAAGTTATTCAGATGTCAGTTACTGTTTTTTGCACACATCACAGCAGCCTTTCCTTTGAGTTCCTTCAGCCTTTACTAAGGAATCTTCCCTGAAGCTAGAAGACTTATATGACAATCTTCCAACTGTTCAACAGTAACTCCTCCTCCTTATTGCTATTCTGAATACAAGCTATTCACTGAGTACATCTCACTTGTTTGGTTCAGAGATGGTGTAATCCAGATGTTGCTGAATTACAATTCTCACAGCCTTATTGGCCAGATTGATATGATGAGCGTTTGGAACCTGGAGCCTAACAACATGCAGAAGGCCACACATTCTCTAAACCTGACATCTATTAAACCCTACCTAATGCAGCAAGATTGTTTCAAACAAAAATGGCAAATGGAATTCCATTCTACCTAGGAACCTCTATGATCAATGGGGACATATCCACCACCTATTCTCTTTCCGCTTCACAAAAATCTTAAAGTGGCAATCTGGGTTTAATACAGCACAAAAATAAACTCAAAATAAAACAAAAACCAAAGACACAGATGTAGATGTTAAATCTACAGGCAGGTGCCGGGCAAAAATATCTGTTAATAATATCTAATGAAATAACAGGTTACCCACCCGTAATTGTAGTTCTTCGAGTGGACCTCTGTGATTCACACCGTGGGTGATTCGTGCCTGTGTGGAACCTCATCGGAAGATTCTAAAGCTTCTGCGGTAGTAATGAACACATCAGAATATGCCCTCCCCACCCGTATAAGTACCCTGGTGCCAAGCATCCCCTTTCAGTTGTGTCAACTGCTGCTTAATAGTAAGCAAACAATGGCATGACAGAGGGGAGGACGGGTGCGATGTGTGAATCACAGAGGTCCACTTGTAGAACTACAATTACAGGTAGGTAACCCTTCTTCTTCGTGGCCTCTGTGAATCACACCCTGGGTGACAAATACTCTGTCTTACTCGGAGGCAGGGTGTCATGCCAAGGTAGAGGCTAGAACAGCATGTCCAAATGTCACATCAGACTTCTGCTGGAGGTCGAATCTATAATGATGGATAAACATGGATGGCTGTGCCCAAGTGGCAAAGGCAAGGACGTCTGGAAGAGGTATGCAATGGAAAAAGGCTGTAGAGGCTGCCACTGCCCTGAGGGCAAACCACTCTAGGGGCTGGTTGTTGATAAGCCAAATGAATGGTAGAGACGACCCATCTAGAGATAGATTGGGAAGTCACCTGCCGGCCCTTTGTAGGTAGCTGATGGCTTATGAAGAGACGAGACGACTGTCTAAAAGGTTGGGTACGTTGGAGATAAAAAGCAAGAGCTTTTTAGACATCCAATGCATGGAGTATTTTTTCTTGGTTTGAGGAAGGCGATGGAAAAAATGAAGGAAGGACAATTGGCTGGGAAAGATGGAAATTAAAGACAATTTTGGGATAAAATCTGCCTGACAGTTTGAGTTTTTTTCGATACCATATGGGGAGCAGGTTGAGGTATAGGTACCTCTCGGTGATGTGGCTGCTTCGACACTGATGGTTGTCAAGAGGTGGACCGACTACTAGATGGTATTATTGAACTGAGTAAAACACCTGGTTGACTAGTCGATGCAAGTTTGTCGAGCAGAGAACTGGTCGGGCAAATGGCAACCCGATGCGCGTGCTGATCGTGGGTTTGAACCACACATGATGAAGCGAGCTGTCGAGTTCGTTGATGTCGATGGTTCTGGTTAGGGATCAGTGGGCAATCCGAGGGCATCGAATATGGAACTGTGTCAAGCCGCTCGGGATGGAAATCCTCAGGCGATGGAATAACCAAAGGACTGCTGGAAGGAATGGAAGGTTGTGGACTGGGAGGACGTTAGTTGGTTGACTCTATCATCGGATTCTGGAGACTGAGAAGAGGGATAATGGGATGGAAGTCTGTCATCATGAGGGAGATCCAACCGAAATTGATTCAGAGAGTTGTTGTGGGATGTCTGTAGGCTTAGACAGTTTAGCTTGTTTAGGAGGGACAGGCTCCAGAGCTGGAGGAGTTTCAGTAGGTCTCTGATGTTTAGAAGTTGTTTTCGAAGTCGAGGACTTCGGTATTGACGGTTTGGATTTGTGTATCTTCCGAGGTCTTAAACGATGCAGACGGAGAATCAGAATGAGTTGGTGCAGCCAACAGATGTTGTTTCGATGATTCAGTAATGGCTTTTTCCATTACTTTGGTTTGGGAAGTGGCCCCACAGGGAGGTTGGGCCATTTGAACTGGTTGTAAGGATTATTCCCAAAGTCGGAGTTTTAGCCTCGAGAGGCAAGTTCGAAGAACTCCATGCTTAAAATTTTTGCAACAGGTACAGGAGGAAGCTTGATATTTTTCTCCCAAACAAAAAGGCACTTAGTGTGTCCATCAGAAAGTGGGATTTTATTATCACAGACTAAGGTAAAGGTAAAGGGTCCCCTTGACATTTAGTCCAGTTGTGTCTGACTAGGGCGCGGTGCTCATCCCCGTCTCCAAGCCGCAGAGCTAGCGTTTGTCCATAGACAGTTTCTGTGGTCACGTGGCCAGTGCAACTAGATATGGAATGCAGTTACCTTCCCACCGTGGCGGTACCTATTTATCTACTTGCATATACATACTTTCGAACTGCTAGGTTGGCAGGATATCACAGACTATGAGGTGCTTAAATGGGCCCAAAGGGGCCATGAATAGGAGAAATAATTGAGGAGAAAAACCGATGATTGAAAGGGGGGTGCTGCAGCCGGAGGCGAGCAAGGGGTAAGGGAAAAAAAATCTCTGATGATAGTGAGTTTGATCTAATAGTTTAAAAGAAAAAGATTGATAACAGAAAGGAATCAAGAATAAGCTCTCTTTCTCTTTTACTCACAGAAGCAGAATTATGAGTCTCTCAACATGGCGGTTGAAAGAAACTGAAAGGGGACACTTGGTGCCAAGGTACTTATATGGGTGGGGAAGGGCATATTCGAATGTGTTCATTGCTGCCGCAGAAGATCTAGAATCTTCTGATGAGGCTCCACCATGATTCATAGCTGCCGCAGAAGCTCTAGAATCTTCTGATGAGGCTCCACCATGATTCATACAGGCCATGAAGAAGAACAGTTACATCACCTAAGAATTTTCATAGCCTATTCGGTTCAGTATGTGGAAAGAAGTCTAATGCTATCCAACTTTTGATATATATCATTATCTAACTAGATCTCTAATGCTATCCAACTTTGATATATATCATTATCTAACTAGATCTGCATATTATTTATTAGCAACATATTGGAAAATATTTTCCACTCACCCTGGTGTGGTGAATTCTGAGTAAACACACACATTAATTCTTTTCCACTGGCAGGATTTTAACATGAGTCAAAATCGATTCAGAATACTCCTGCCCACGGAAGGGTGGGGGAAGAGTTATGTTTCACCATTTCCTGTCTTTTATGTGACTTCTAGCAGCCCACTTCCAATGATTCTGATGATATCTCAAACCTTTCCCCAGAAGGGATTTTCAGTGATGGAATTGGTTAAGGCTGCTTTTACCTTGTTCAGCCAATGGAAAAGTTCCACTGGATAAACAGCTTCCAGATGCCAGAAACAACCCATTCATTCTTTGAGGCTTTTGTTGGGTTAAACCTAACATTGTGGGAAAGGTAATCAAACTGATCAGAAATCCAAATATCAAACTCAGCTGTTCCAGCATTACTTTTTGATTTGACTGCAGTTCAGCATTCAGGTATGGACTACATGTCCCCACATGACGTATGTTCTTCACTTTCTCACAGTTTCACTACAGAATTTCAAGATTTCTGAATTGCTTGCCAGCAAATAACAGTTTCCACTCTCCTCTGTCCTCCTTCGACTGTAAGGTTTTGCAGTAACAATCTGCATAAGGTTGATGAAGCTCTTATGTATGACTAGGGAGGTGGGAACACCAACCCCTCCTAAACTTGCCAATGATGTCGTCTTCTCACAGGTTCTTTCAATCAACGGAATGCAAAGGACTGAACTACATAAGCACCATTATTCTGTAGAAATGTGGCTGATAGGCTACGGGTGACCCACTTATTTTAAGGTGTTAGTATAAATATTAATAGCCCAGCATCCAATAAATTTCCTCTTATATGTTCATATTCCAACTCCTCTTAACATGCAGTTAAGATCCTGTATGGATCTAGTTTGGTTTTTTTTTTTTTTTTTTTTTNTTTGCTTTTGTAGAGCAGATGTTACTGTATTGGATTTTAGTGTGTCTGGTTTTAACTAAACTGTTTTAATTGATGTTGGAAGCCGCCCGGAGACTCTTGCAGAGTGCAGGCGGCATACAAGTCAAATGAATGAATGAATGAATAACTGAACTACACAGAAACCCCCCAGTGCTGCTCCACACTTTTACAGAGCATCTGAAGTTTAGTAGGAGAGGATGTATTGTGTATGCAGAAGGTCCCAGTTTCAATGCCAACATTTCCAGGGTGGTCTGAGAAAGAAGCCCTCTAGATCCCCTGCCAGTCAGTATTAATAAGACTGAGCTAGATGCATCCACAGTTAGGTTCTGGAATAAAGCAGTCTCCTATGTGCTTTGCTCTTTTACCTAGCAGATGCTGAATCAAAGTACCCCATGTATAAAGGAGATAATGTGAAATATGGAAGCTAGAGGAAACTTATTGAGAAAAAAAGAAACAACAGCACAAGAGAGCAGATCAAGCAACAATACCTTGGTTTCCTTTTGACTGTTCGTCTTCCACATCAAGCTCAAATAAGCCGCAGCCTGCAGTATCTATGAGCAGCAATGGAATACTAGTTTCTTCTGTGTAGGCCACTCCAGGCAGATCCCTGACAAGTTACCAGAAAGACTTGTGACCTTACAACACTGCAAAACCAGGTTATCTATGTATCTTTGATACTAACCAGGAAATCAAGAAATACCCGATCTGTGCTCTAAAAATCGTATTATTCTTACTCTTTTTACCATTAATTGCATAATTCTTTATCAATACAAAAATAGATAAAAACAATTATGTGCAATCAAGTCAATATTGTTTTAAGTGATATTTTTTGACACTATAATTTCCTCCAGCATTCTAGGCCTGATATATTGGATATAAATTGTAACAAATCAAGCAACCTTCTCGCTCATTGGTTTTTAACTTATGGTCTGCAGACCCACGGGGGCCTGTGATGTCCTCACGGAGGGTGTGCAAAGGCTTGAAGAAATGTTATGATCTTTTACAGTTAAAAAACAGAATGGATGAATGAATGAATGAAAACAAGAAAGAAAAAGAAAGGTAGAACAAAATCTCAATTTCCCTTGTTTGTTTGTTTAAAACTTTGCTTTTCCAAGCTACTGCCTCCATTAGAAACAAGCAAAGGTAAAAAATGGTTATGAAAATAACTCTTTGATAGCAAATAACTGATATTTCTGCACACAGTAAGAGCATGCCAGTGAATGATGCTGAGCGCCTGAGAGCATGTGACATTTCTTGCTACTGTGAAGACAGACAGAAGCCACAGAAAAAGAGAGTCAGAGTCAGTCAGTGTCAGTGTGAGTGAGTGTTCAGACAAACTTTGTGATGTTTCTTCTTCAGTTTCTGCAAATAAAATTGTTTGGTTATTGTCAGGTAAACTGACTCTTCCATGTTGTAGTGAATTTGTAACAATACACTTTGGCTGAGCCTCAGAATGGACCGTTGGCTGAATCTGAAATGTAAAATAGCAGATGCCGTTGATGAGGATGCATCATGTTCAAAGCAAAATGAAGCTTCTTCCAGTCATCTTAAAAAGTGTCACTGTTATAGCAAGGAACACCTGTCAATTAGACCCTTCATCAGAAACTTTAAATAAATATTTCAAGCACTTTAGGGTTTTAAATCTTGAGTTATGTCTTGGTGGTCTGTGACAACAAAAGGCATTTAAAGAGGGTCTGTGGTACAGACCAGGTCAAGAACTGCTGTTCTAGCTTAACATTTTTTTTAGTACAGAGGGCTGCATCAAAACTATATCACACATTACAGCACGATACATAATGTATATACTACTGAATACTGTTCTCCTTGAATGATACTTGTTATCTAGTCTCAGGTTTCAGTTAGATCCTTTGAGTGATGTTACTAGTGGCCCCAGAAGCGTCAGTGGCTTCAAGTACTTTTCACAACCTGTGGCTGGTAAATTAACTATGTGGCTCCTCCTCAACAAATACCCTGACTGTGAGTATTTCTGCTCTGGCAACCTCCAGATTACACTACAGCATGCACTGTACATGGTGCTCCCTCTGAAAGCTGTCCAGAATCCTCAACCAATCCAAAATACAGCTGAAAGGCTACTTCCTGGAGCTAGCAGTTCAGAACACACTACTGGTTCTTGTTTCCAGGACACAGGCTCTATAGATCTGGATCTCGATATATGCCGTCAGCTTCCTATTAAGCCATATTCTCTTTGTGAGTCTAGAGAACATGATAGCTGCTTTGCCAATGTATTTATCCAGCTCGACATCTAGGGAGAGAATGTCGGAGATCGTTGAGCCAAAATACACAAAGTCATGAACAACCTCCAGTTCTTGTGTGGAGATGGTAATAGAGGGAGGTGAGTCCACGCCCTGACCCATGACTTGTGTTTTCTTCGGGCTGACTGTTAATCCAAAGTCTTGACAGGCCTTGCTAAAATGATTCATAAGTTGTTTCATAAGTTGTTGGAGCTCTTCGGCAGAATGGGCAACAACAGCTGCATCATCAGCGAAGAGGAAGTCCCACATGCATTTCAGCTGGACTTTGGTCTTCACTCTCAATCTAGAGAGATTAAAGAGCTTTCCGTCTGATCTAGTCTGGAGATAGATACCTTCTGTTGCTGTTCCAAAGGCGTGATTCAGCATGACAGCAAAAAAGATCCCAAAAAGGGTTGGCACAAGGACACAGCCCTGTTTCACTCCGCTTCAGATGTCAAAGGGATTTGATGTTGAGCCATCAAAAAATACAGTGCCCTTCATCTCCTCGTGAAAGGACCGGATGATGTTAAGTAGTCGAGGTGGATGTACAATCTTTGGGAAGTGTTTTAAAAAGGCCGTCCCTGCTAATCAAATCAAAGGCCTTTGTAAAATCCATGAAGGCCACAAAAAGTGGCTGTCGTTGTTCCCTACATTTCTCCTGAAACTGTCTGAGGGAAAACACCATGTAAGTGGTGGATCTATTAGCTCGAAATCCACACTGTAATTCTAGATAGACTCTTCAGCACAACACAGGCAAGCAGCTTCCCTACAAAGCTGAGAAGAGCGATGTCATGGTAGTTATGTCATGGTAGTTGCCCCTGTCGCCTTTGTTCTTGTACAATGTGATGATGTTTGCATCCTTCATGTCCTGTCGTACTCCACCTGAAAGCAAAGACAAAAGATTTCGTATAACTCGGTGGTGATGGTCTCTTTACAGCACTTCAGCAGGGATGTTATCCTTCGCAGGTGCTTTGCCAGAGGCGAGAGAATCCAAGGCCGCTTTTATTTCTGCTAAAGTTGGTTCGCTGTCCAATTCTTCCAAGACAGGCAGGCACCTGATGTTATTTAATAGCTCTTTGGTTACTACATTCTCTCTGGAATATAGCTCAGAGTAGTGCTGCACCCAGTGTTCCATCTGCTGATTTCACTCCTCGATGATCACATCTGCAGCAGATTTCAAAGGAGGTGATTTCTTCTGTATTGGACCTGCTTGATACCGTCATACATTCCCTTGATATTACCTGTGCCAGCTGCTATCTGTATCTGAGAGCAGAGCTGAAGCCAATAATCGTTGGAA